TAAGACACTGAAGTAATCAAAGTCAAGGCTGTCAATATTGATAACTTGTCCTAACACAGTTGACAAGTTTCTTCAATATCAGTTAAACCAGCTTTGACAGAGCCCGCAAGATGTTAGTATTTGTTAAAGTCTGGTTAATAAGAACGCCGTGGTCAAACGGTATCAAATTTATTATTTGTATCACATATTGTAGGGTTCATTAGAAGCCTGTGAAATATATTATTTGAATAAAATTATCATTATCTTCCATAGCTTTCCTCATAACAAATATTGGGGGCTATTATAACATAATAAAATTCATTAAATAGAGCATGGTTTGGGATAAGAAAATATAACTGGGACTTACAATGATGATGTTACAGTTACATTATATCATAAATGAAACAAATTAATTGAGTGCATCAAATAAAAACTTTAAGGAATAAGGTGTTTATAAGTTATTTGGATAAAATAATTCATCTCATTACCTTTCTTATAACAAATGTTGGGAGCCATTATCATTACAATATGAATAAATATAATATACAGAAGTATTAATTATTAATAATGTTAAAAAAATATTTCCTTTTCCGTCACAATATTGGAAGTTATACATGATTAAAAAAAAATATCAAAATATATTAAACAAAAATAATAAATATTTCTACTATCTTCCCCTGAGAAATACTGAGAGTTCTTTTTTTGTATATTAAAAATGCAGCACTTTATTGAAACAATAATTTCCTGCATGAAAGGTTCTCTTTTTATGTTGGGACATATATTTACAAAAAGCAATCTCCTATACATAAGGTACAATCCGCTAGGGATATATAACGGGTTGTATTACCATACAGCCTACAAAATATTGAAAGACTACAGACAACGAGACATCAATGTCAAGGCTATTGATAACCTGTCCCTACATACAGTTGATCTGTGTCTTCACGATTAGTTAAACCATCTCTGACAGTGCCCCTGAGGTGTTAGTATTCGTTCAAGTTCCGTAATAACAAAACCGTAGTCAACGGTATTAAATTTATTGAGTGCATTGCACGGAGAATTTAGATTGTTTGTTTAAGGTTTTAAGCCTGTGAAATATGTTGTTTGTAAACAAGCAGCACACAGATTGTGCGGCTTCTTCATGCCACTGGCTGATGGAAAGGGTTAGATGGGTTGTTTACATCGACAAATACTGTATAGTGTTACCAAAAAAAAACACACTTTCTTATAAATCAGTCCGACAAACATAACTAGCAGGTAGAACTGAGATGACATAACAAAATTTGCTTAAAGTATAATTATAAGGTTCCTTAATGGAACTATTATTAAAACTAATATTTAAACTTTATTAATATTTATAAATAACAATGACAACAACAAAATAATATATAATAATGGAAACAATATTCATCATCTTCCCTTACTGTGCATAACCTCGGTTGAGTGTTCTCGCACAATGTCGTACAGTACTCATATATGTCGCGGTCAAAAGGGAAAGAAAAGGAAATAAATAAATAAATAATTTAAATAAATAAATAAATAAAATAAATATTGGCTCAATATATAAGAAAAATTAAAATTTCTGTTTATACACGAATTATAGTAATTAAAAATTTAAAAAAAACTTAAAAATATTAAAATATACGTACTTAACATGGGCTTAAAAATTAATTTAAAATCTGTAGGATGTTTCATTGTAGCATTAGGTTATTACGTGGTTATGAAAAGCACATAGAAACAATTTTATTGTATTATGCTCTGCTAGGCTAGGCTAGGCTTGGCTAGGCTAGGCTAGGAATCCGACTTAAAATATTATTATTGTTTGAATATGACTTTACCACACTTCTTAGAGCCATGCTTCGAAGGCCTCTCATGTTTTCTTATTGATATTTATTGTGTGGAAACAGAGTATTATCACTGATTAAGTATCATATACATGAGAAATTAGCACAATCACATCAGAACTAAAATTAAGACTGCTGTCCTATTGCCATCTTTCATTCTGTCAACTTTGAAACTGACCTGATTTAAAATCAGACAACAGTTACATTATGTATCACTAAATTTCTCTAAATATATTTATAAATGTTCGTATTGATCTTATATTATTTTAACAATTTTAAAAATTTCATAATCTGGATGTTAATGTATTTCTTCTGGTTTATGTATGTTGCTCGTTTTTATAAACTGTGAATGTTATTGTTGACTTTTTGTACTGAGCCCTGTGGGAGAACAGCAAATATGCCACTAAACAGGTTTTCCCAGTATAAAGAATAAAGAAATAAAAAAAACATAGGTAAATACAAAAAGCCTCTCTGGAGCTTTGCTTCTTTAGGCAAGCTAATAAAACAACATAAGAACAAATATTCTAAACTAGATTTCTTTTCTTTTTGTGCATTTAGGATGTGGTTTTTCAGTGTATAGAGATGACTTTGTATTACGCACTTTACAAGTATATCACCATCACCATACACAAAAATATGAATGGAAAGGTTTTGAGTTAAAAAAAAGTTTATAATACATTCATTGAATTTGCTGACTTGGACAATTTCAATGCAAATTTCAAGGGGATTATATGTAGGTAAGTTTAGAGAAGTCGTTTAAAATTCTTCATACACAAGACGAGTTTCTGAATGACAGGAGAAAATAATAAATGCCCTCGTATGTAACAAGAATGATTATATTTCATCATAAAAAGCTCCAAATGAGACCAATTACCATTGACAAAACAAACGACAACAGGAGCCAATTTTCTAGATAGGTTTTAACTCGTGCATTTGATTGTGATTGGGATATTATGTAAATGACGACATTTATCCTCAACACAAATTATATTGCATTTCAGCTGTCATCTTTTGTAATTAAATTACATAGAAATTTAAGAATTTGAATTTTATGTTTTTGTTTCACCTTTGTTCAAAATATGGAAACTTTATGCCAAGTTCAATCAATGTTGAAGGAAATGCGAGAAGGAATACGAGATTGCAGATAACTCTCTCTATATGTATTTAAAAATTAATGATTTTACTTGCAAAAAAAACAAAAAAAACCCCCAAAAAACCACATTTTTTTTTAGTTCTACAAAAGATATGTTTTATGAAACTTGTGTCAGAAACATACCAAAACTTTCCCAATTTCAGCCTAAAATTTAAATAAATACTTTTAAAAAACTCAAATTTATGATTTTACTTCTAACAAAAAGAAAATGATCAAAACAAAAATTCATTATTTTTATTTAGTTCTACCAAAGATATGTTTGAAGAAACTTTTGTCAGATACATACTTAGACTTTCCAATTTCAGACTAACATTTAAATACTTTTAAAACATTCCAATTTATGATTTTAATTGCAACCAAAAGAAAATGGAAAAAAACATTGTTTTTGAGCTCTACCAAAGATATTTTTGAAGAAACTTATGTCAAAAAAATACCTAGACTTTCCCGATTTCCAAATAAATTTTCAAATACTTTAAAAAACTTTAATAATGGTTATTAATGGATTTTAAAAATGGAAACGCGTTTATGAATCAATTTTTACATGAGATCAAGGTACCAAACGTTAAAGTAATCGTTGAGACTAACCTATTTTATTTTAGGATAGAAAACAATACTGCTCCAAATATATTCAGCTTTTTCAAAGGTCAAAATTCTATAAATATTATCTTCACTCTGGTCTAAAGACCAAAGTCTAACATGATCATCAATTACCTCTAACCGCCCTAGAGGCGCGCTCCGCTTCTCTGTATGTGCGTCATTTGACCCACTTCTGCTCCTGCGTAATTTGAAAACCTGGTCAAAAGATCATGAGCTAGGTGTAAGCTTTTTCGTAACCGTTGTTAAGAAATAGAACTAAGCTAATTAGCACTAAAATGGAATGTGTGCCAAACTTTCACATGGAAGAACTGTTACCTTCTTATGCATCTTACAGTAGAACTCCCTCCATCGGGACAATGCTATTAAGGGGACACTAAGAAAGCATCCCTATTAAGGGAACATCAAAATTAGGGGACATCCTTATTATTTTTTGGTCCTGAAGGTGTCCCCTTCATAGGGGTTCTACTGCATTTTTATGCAGCAGTTAATATGGTCATACTTCCATGAATATGTTCTTTGATATAGTTTTTACCATTCAACACATGTAATGGGTTCAATGTCACATTCTTAACATGTTTGCGATTTTAATAATAACGACAAAATGATATATCGATACAAATGTATCTAAGTAAGAATAAAGTACTTAAACACAAAGGTTAGCTAAAATGAAGAAATTATTATACCTCATGAATCAAGATTATGAAATTCAATTCCACCAATTGTTAAAGTCATAAAAATACTAAACTTGCATATGTACGTGTGATTCTAGGAAAGTGTTTAATCCTACAAGAACTCCCAAAGACAAATCCCTAAGCACATCCTTGGGCAAAAACCTAAGAGCACACCACAGAACATGAAAGAATCCAAATACGAATCCTTGAACATATCCTGAAATAGAACCTACAAAAAACTCAAAGACCCCTAAATGATGTTTGAGAACTCACCATAAAATGAGTCTCATGGTTGGGAAATCAAAAATTGAGTTTATATCTTTTTTGGGTAGATCACCTATTAAGCTTTAATTTGGTCTTTGAATTGGTTTCCTGGGATAGGTAAATCCAGAAATGTCAGCATTTGAAGTTTTGATGCATTTTGAAGTTTTGATATATGAGAACCAGGTTTTGAAAATAATCAGCCTCGAAGATAAACTAACCTGTACAGAGAATAAACCTACAAGTACAGAATATGTATGGAGAACATTTTTATAGTAAGTAAAGTAAATTGTCATAAAATAATAAGTATCTACATATTCAAAAACATTAAAATCAAAATTGAGTAAAAAGTTTGAATTTTTGACCAATTTTGGTGAATACCTCAATATGGTGTCACCAACGATGCATCTCATTTTATAGTGATTTTCTCTATGGTGATAGGTCACAAATTATTTTACAAAGTTGACCTACTGAAGTAGTAAAGATAAAACTTACATTTGCCTATCCGTTATATCTTGTGATGTCATCTGTGATCCATATATGGTAAGTTTCCACTTGACTAAAATCCCACTTCCTGATTTACCTGCAGGAACCAAAAAAATGTAATTAATCAATAAAGATAATAAAAATTAATATAATAATGATAATAATTACCATTATCAATATGTCAATATTATATATTTAATAGTTCCTCATCCCCACCTACTGTAGTTTTCCCATCAATATCATGCTAAAATAGCATTTCAAATAATAGTATTCAATTTATACATTCCTACATTGTAAGCTGTTTATAACAGATTCAGTGTTACTAACTTAACTACTTGACCTGAAAAACCCATGACCCTAAAAAATATGTCTTGTCTCCTAACAATTTATTACTTGTTACGTTAACCTATTTCCGCACTGCCACAGCTGGGGGAATCCCAGATCCCCGACCTAAATTTTCTATTTAATTAACAAAAACAAATGTAGTTAGTTTACTATATTTAATGTACCATAGCAAATTTGTGTGATGATATGCAGAATTGTTATTTGGGCATAATAGCCCTGTTGACCCTTTCACCTATTCACTATTAGCCACCTGGGCACCTTTGCAGTTGTTTCAACAACATTAAACATACAATCTATTAGAAAAGTCAAATATCAAGCAACTTGGCAAATACGTACATGCTGTTAGAATTCCGTAAACTCTCATCTAAATCAACTTCCCCTTTTAGACAAATTTGATAGTAGAGAATTAGTTGTTCACTATCAAATCCAAGGGTTTTAGGTTCAGCCTTATGTAATGTCAACGTTTATCTGAAATAGCTTCCTGGCAAAGCTTAGATAGCTGAAATTTATGGGCTGGTTTTGATCTCCAGAGTCTTTAGAGTTTATGCTAAATTTGTAATGCAATAATCTTCCCCCTGCCCAAAGACCAAGTGACATCACAATTGAGTATTGATAGGGGATCGTGCGCGGGTAGATTGACGCTTAACAGGAAAGTGGGAGGGAGTGCTATCTGAAAGGAATAGGGCGATATGAGTGTAATTTTTGGCTCAGCTACTTTTCAAAGAGGAGCATATGGTGTAAACTTTGTCATAATATGACAAAGTGAACAGAACTGTACATAAACACTTACTTTATTTTTATACATTAAAAATTATTAGTGTCTGTTATTACCAAAGCCCATTTGGGATTTTCTACGAAAAATGTAATAACATTTTACAACAAAGATAAAAATATCGATGACTGATGAACTCAATCCCTATGACGTGGATCATCAACTACAGAAAAAAAAGATCAACAATATGAACCTGTGAACTCAAATAATATTGTATGTTTAAATGCTCAGTCTGAGTGTCTAGAAATTTTTAAGTATATGCAAATCATAGGCTAATCAGAACATGGCTAGCTAAGGATGTTTATATTTTAATAGGCATTGAAGGTGAATGCATGTTCACACTACATTATCAGATAACCACACAATATAATTCGTGAGGTAAAAATTGATTCACGATGCACTAATAAGGGTACATGTATGCAGTACATTATTGGGCAATCACAAGATGGCCAGTCGGATGATTACATTTTAAGAGCCATGAAGTTAAACGCATGAATTGAAGTTCTTTGTCACTGGGACACTATCAGAAACCTAATGATTTCTCATGGAATTAATACTCTGGTAGTTTGCAATAAGTCTGAAAGGTATGTATACAACACGTGTACAACCCAAATGACTTGTTAATGCACCCCTATCTTGAATAAATGCTGCACAGAAACCTTTAAATATGTTTAAAGTGCCGCTGCATTTCTTTGAACTTTTACGGTACAATTAGCGGCAATAATCGAAACTGATCTATGATGCTTCTAATTCCTATTAAAATCATTGTTAGCACATTACAATTATGTGAAATGGTCTAATTTTATTATAACATTTGACCCAGTTTACATCTGTATTTCCAAGCACCATTGGATACGTAGTTTTGTAGTTAGTATTTTCATCAGTGTAGCCTAGATTTCAAGGTGCGCTCAAAATTGCAGGTTCATTAGTGATACGTGTACACAACACACATGCAATCGGAACTCTCTAGGGCTAGATAGGCCTAAAGTACCTCGATGTAGAAAACAGGAGTCGAATATCTTTAGGCTGCGCCATGCATAAATTAATATGTCGGTCTCATATCTTACATTGCGCGCAATGCCTCTTGCACTTGGTATTAATACCCTGGTTTATTGGATTTGTCTTCCTGACATTCAAAACAAACATTCACTTAAACAGTGAAATATTATTGCAAAAATTTCAGAAATGACACAGGTGTAAATTATCTAGATTACTTAACACATCATGAACCAAGTGCTTTGAGTGTTCTACTGCCTGAAACCTGCCCTCTATAACTTATTTTAAACCTTGGGTTTAATGGTTACAAATTATCATCTTGTAACATTATATTAGCCTATCAAGTACTACCACTAGTGGCCTTCCTTCAAAAGGTAAATTTCAAACTCTATTCAAATTCTAATAGGGTGCCCTCATCTCATGGTAGCACTTTTTTAACATTTCATACAAAATCAGGATAGTAGGATCTCTTGCTATTCTATACTCTTTGGTACCATATATAGTATTTTGGTAGTACAGATATGAAGTGACCTTTAAGGGTCAGATTTGACGGATATCAGCATTATACAAATATCCATTATTATTATCCTTATCATTACCATTTTGGAATTGTTATCAAGATTTAAGAAGAATGTGCAGAATTGTAATTTTAAATCTTGGCAGTTAAGAAGCAAGTTTACAAAAATGGATGTTGATGTTTTTACATACTGTTTATCCAATTTCTTTCATTTCATCTTAATAATATACTACAACTGGTTGCAATACTACACAATAAGAATATATTATTATAAATATGATAAGTATTAAAAGTACTATATTACTATACACTTAAGTGAAAAAAAGTATAGCACTTTAGAGTTGAGATATTTATCAACACAAGCTTGTATGTAGACAGTAGTACTTTAGGAAAATGATTAGTGGAGTTAAATGCAATCTTTATAGTCTGAAACAAAATGCTCCGTTAATAATGAATAGATATAAAAACATATATATAGAGGAGAAGACAAAATTCCTATAAATGAACTAAATCACTATTTAGTAGGTCTTCTTTTGCACTATTAAGATTATACTTCAGATAAATAATATGTAACATATTTTTTTCCATCTTGTAAAGAACGAGCAGTACCGTTGCTCCAAGGTTTCAGGCGACGCATGGTGAAAGAAGATTCAGTGATATATTTTGTCTTGATTAAAGATGAACCTAGCCTTGTTTTATCTAGTTTAATTAAGAGTAAGACTGCCCATGATAAAAAATCTTTCACCTTTTATCCTCCTATCTAGTTAAAAAAATATGTAGCAAGGCCTTGAGAAAGTGCACGATTATTATACCAGTGGCAATATAGTAGATTTTAATGCCATTCATAATTTAAAACATTAATTATCCTATGAATAAAGATGTCATTAGGACAGAACCTAAAAAATTTGCCATCCACCGGCAGAATAAAACATGCCTTAGTTTAGTAACTTAAGTGCAGCCTTATTATACCAGCAGCAATATGGTACTAACCATGTTTGATTTTAACACCACTCGTTATTTAAAACATTAATTTATTCTATGAATAAAGTTGTCATTAAACCAATAACACAGGATGATATTGTCAATACCATATGTTCAAACGTTAATTAAGGATGAGACTGTATGGCTGTTGAAATTTAATTTAACCCAAGGTTTGTATCTCTGTCGTTGAGTGCTTAACCCTAGTTCATAGGGGAATCCAACCGATAAACACAACAATCGTGAAAAGGCTTAGGATCGGCTTATAGGTAGCCAGACCAAAAAAAATACAATGCTAGGCTAAATTGAGTTCCTTAGAGAGTTATGTTTAGACCCTATACTTTATAATGTAGCTTAGGGACAAAGTCTAGCTAGATTATTGATGCTAAATTTCAATATAATATAATTCAACATTATATTATTAAATTTTATTATCTGAGGTACACACAAAGTAGAATTTCAGTATAAAATCTCTGTAGTTAAAGTTGGCTTACACGAGTTGAGCATTTAAAAAAAAATTACTCAAAAGTCAGGAGGTGGGCTTACTTATATATGGGATGGGCTTAAATTCAGGGTGGATATCTGGAGTGGTGACTATATCTGGCATGGGCCTATAAATGAGATGAGGCTTATTATACACAGGAAAGGTTTAAGCTCTATTCACACTATCACGTTTCATGTGACAAACCTATGACTTGGCCATATATGGGTGTTATGTGACATCATCATGCCCATATATGGCCAAAGATATTTGCATGGAGTATTTAATAGTGCAGACAGCAACCATGGAACAACTGTAAAGTTCTGTCTAAACTATTAAATTTTCTTTGACAAAAAATTGTTGTATGCTCATATAGTCATGATATGCCTATATATGGTCATGATGTGCCTATATATGGTCATGATGTGCCTATATATGGTCATGATGTGCCTATATATGTTCATGATGTGCCTATATATGGTCATGGTGTGCCTATATATGGTCATGATGTGCCTATATATGGTCACAATGTGCCTATATATGGTCATGATGTGATGTCATCCTGACCATATATTTATACATGTCACATTTGATAGGTGAGGAAAGGGCTTAATAATTATATCCTCCATGTTGGATAAGGCACTGCACAGGATCAAAGGATATCTTCTGAAAATATAGAATTACTACTTATAGAAAATATTTGCTATGTAAGTTAAATGACCTACATTTACGTTCAGAATTCCAACTACTTTCAGAAAAGCTCAAGACGCCACCTGATCACGCCCTAGTCACTCGTTACAAAGTTAAGTATTACATAAAATAAAGGAGCGTTATGTTGTCATTGTACTATTTAATATAGAAATTATAGCCATTTTCAATATATGAGCAACGCTAGGAGACAGAACTAAGCGTCCTATATTCTAAAATGTCTAACAAAAAAAAAAATTAAATGATGATGATGATGATGATGATGATTGATCTCATCAATGATTAATGCTTACTTGTCAGTTATTGTCATATTTTTTTTTTTAATTTAAAGTGAATTTTATAT